CCTCTGGCCCGATGCTAGCCTGTAGCCCCGGCCCTCGCCGTGCTGTATGGTTGCCTGTAGCACTGATTGCCCCTGTGTAGTGTACTCACCAGTAGCCCTGGTCCTCCTATTCATTGTGCTGAGCTGGAGCCTCAGCTCCCTGTGCAGCCCTGGGCCCAATGAGTGAGCCATTGCTTTCCCAGGAGTAATTTTTCTCTTCTTTACCTCTCCTGTGTGCCACTTAGCCCCCCAGCGGATACCCGTATCCAACCTATAAGGCTGCATGTGACCGTGATGGGAGTTTTATCTCACCTGCTTATGGCGCTGTTGACTTCAACGAGGAGCTGACCTCCCCAATGTTCATTCCCCTCACGGTTGTCTGGAGTGAGGTGTTCAGGTAAATCAACTGAATCTGGGAGCCTCTACTAGCTGGCAGGGGGCAGGGGCAGGGGCAGGGGAAGGAGGAAACAGGGCGGGCAGAGAGGTAGAGTGAGTGCCAAGTGAAGTTATCTCTTCAGAAGGTGATGTAGAAAAGCAGAATCTTTTTTAAATCATGAGCAAGGGAAAATGTTCTGATGGGAAACGAGGTCCATGTACATTTTGATTTTGTAAGTTAATATGCATGTACAGCAAGGTGGTAGGGACTGAGATGGCACTTTAGCTTTTATTACAAAGGAATTGGAATGAAGAAGTCTCACTGCAATTATTTGTGGGCACTGGTGTCACCTGAAGTACTTGTGGTCTCTGTCCCGAAGAAAGATGTACTTAATCTTAGAATGCAACAACATTCATTAGACTGGTACCGAAGATGAGACGCTATCCTATGATGAGAGGCTTTTTATTCACTCATGGGACATGGGTGTTGCCGACTGGCCAACATTTCTTGCCCGTCCCTAGTTGCCCCTTGAGAAGGTGGGGGTGAGCTGCCTTCTTGAATGGCTGCAGTCTTCCTGCTGTGGGTTGACCCACATTGCCCTGAGGGAGGGAATTCTAGAATATTGACCCAGTGACAGTGAAGGAACGACGATATAATTCCAAGTCAGGACGGTGAGTGACTTGGAGGGGAATTTCCCATGTATCTGCAGCCCTTGTCCTTCGAGATGGTAGTAGTTGTGGCTTTGGAAGGTGCAGTCTGAGGATCTTTGGTGAATTTCTGTAGTGCATCTTGTAAATAGTACACACTGCTGCTGCATTTGAGTATCAGTGGTGAAGGGAGTGGATGTTTGCGGAAGTAGTGCCAATCAAGTGCTGGATGGTGTCAAGATTCTCGAGTGTTGTTGGGGCTGCACCCATCCAGGCAAGTGGGGAGTATCCCATCACACTCCTGGCTTGTGCCTTGTAGATGGTGGACAGGCTTTGGGGAGTCAGGAGGTGAGTGACTTGCTGCAGTATTCCTGGCGTCTGACCTGCTGTTGTAGCCTCTGTGTTTATGTGGTGAGCCCAGTTGAGTTTCTGGTCAATGATAACCCCCCCGATGTTGATAGTGGGGGATTCAGTGATGGTAACACCATTGAATCCCAAGGGGCGGTGGTTAGATTGTTTTTTATTGATAATGGCCATTGCCTGGCAATTGTGTGGCACAAATGTTACTTGCCACTTGTCAGCCCAAACCTGGATATTGTCGAGATCTTGTTGCATTTGAACAGGGACTGCTTCAGTATCTGATGAGTTGCGAATGGTACTGAACATTGTGCATTTATCTGCGAACATCCACACTTCTGACCTTATGATGGAGCTTAGATGATTGACCTCCAACACCCGCAACCATCTTCCTACGTGCCAGATATGACTCCAACCAGAGGAGAGACTTTCACCAGTACCCATTAATTCCAGAATTGCTCGGGGTCCTTGATGCCACACTTGGTTGAATGCAGCCTTGATGTCAAGGGCTGTCACTTCCATGTTACCTCTGGAATTCAGCGCTTTTAAATTTATTGAATACTTTGCTGCAAAGGATTATATAAGACTGACATTGATAGATTTGTGGAGACTCTGAAAAGTGCGGATAGTGGAGAATAGTGGGCTTGAGTTGATTTCATTGAAAATGCTGCATATTGACAATCTCAAGGATGTTGGCATAGTGCAGAAAAATGAGGTGAAAGGTCAGCTATGATGTAGTGAAGTGAGGGAACTGGCTCAAAGTGATTTCCTTTAGGTTCCTGCTGTCCTCCAATGTTGCAGAGCTGGAGGGAGGCGAGGCAGGGTTTAGACTGGGACAGAGTGTGGGAATGAGTGCTGGCAGGTGAGGGGAGGAGAGGAGAGGGTGGATGGGGTGGGGAATTTGTTCTGTTCTCCTTGTCTGACAATTGCTTGGCTTGGTTTCCCTGGGCACACAGTGACTCTCACCTCTGCAGCAAGTCGGTGTTCCATCATTTGCACAAGTTCAAGGCGGCCGTGCTCGACAACCTCCGCCATTTCTTCAGTGACCTGAAGCAGCGGCTGTGGCGGATTGAGGGGGACACACAGCCTGTGGATTACATCCTGAGGCAGCAGCTCCCTGCGGTGGAAGCCAAGGTCAGTGCAGAGTAACCCTCGCTGTCTGCTACATGTGGCGTGACGCAGGTACCACCACCTCTTCCCCCCGCCCCCACCCCCCCCCCCATCCCCCTCTCCGAGACGAGCTCACACCCTCCTCCCTCCTGCCTCCAACCAGTCAGTCAAGCTGCCTGGTTTAAAATTTAAAGTCTGTCTGTTAACTGTTACTCATCATCAACTGGTGCATTATGCATGGCAATACCTCCACCAATCAGAGTCCACTAGCCAACCAGTCAGCTCTCTCCTCCCTTGCACTGTAATCTAACGTTTTGGTGACCCGGGTTCAAATCTCACCTTGGCAGATGGTGGATTTTGAATTCAGTAAAAATCTGGAATTAAAAGTGGAATGCTGACCACTGTTGGACAAAACCCATCTGGGTCACTAATGTCCCTCAGGGATGGAAATCTACCATCCTTACCCGGTCTGGCCTTCATATGACTCCAGACCCACAGCAAATGGGGTTGTCTCTCAACGGCCCTCTGACACTCAGTTGAATCGAAATCTCTAAAACGTCTCAGAAAGGGAATGAAGCCAGACGGACCACGTGCTTTGGTCTAGGAGAAGAAGTGACAATGGCAAACGCTTCCCTGTCAACATTGTACAGTCCTCCTTACTAATATCGGGGAGCTAGAGCCAAAATATAGGATGACACCAAAATTGGAGCTGGAGTGGACAGCAAAGAAGGTTACTTCAGAGTACAACGGGATCTTGATCAAATGGGCCAATAGGAGTGGCAGATGGAGTTTAATTTACATAAATGAGGTGCTGTATTTTGGAAAGGGAAATCAGGGCAGGACTTATACACTTAATGATAAGGTCCTGGGGAGTGTTGCTGAACAAAGAGACCTTGGAGTGCAGGTTCATAGCTCCTTGGAAGTGGAGTCACAGGTAGTTAGGATAGTGAAGGTGGTGTTTGGTATGCTTGCCTTTATTTGTCAGTGCGTTGAGTACAGGAGTTGGGAGGTCATGTTGGGGCTGTACAAGGCATTGGTTAGGCCACTTTTGGAATATTGTGTACAATTCTGGTCTCCCTCCTAAAGGAGGGATGTTATGAAACTTGAAAGGGTTCAGAAAAGATTTACAAGGATGTTGTCAGGGTTGGAGGGTTTGAGCTACAGGGAGAGGCTGAATATGCTGGGGTTATTTTCCCTGGATCGTTGGAGGCTGAGGGGTGACCTTATAAAGGTTTATAAAATCGTGAGGGGCTTGAATAGGATAAATAGCCAAGGTCTTTTCCCTGGGGTGGGGCAAGTCCAAAACTAGAGTGGCATAGGTTTAAGGTGAGAGGGGAAAGATTTAAAATGACGCGAGGGGCAGTATTTTCATGTAGAGGGTGGTGTGTGTATCGAATGAGCTGCCGGAGGAAGTGGTGGAGGCTGGTACAATTACAACATTTAAAAGCCATCTGGATGGGTATGTGAATAGGAAGGGTTTAGAGGGATATGGGCCAAATGCTGGTAAATAGGACAAGTTTAATTTAGGATATCAGGTTGGCATGAACGAGTTGGACCGAAGGGACTGTTTCCGTGCTTAATATCTCTTTAACTGTAAGACTATTACAACATCCCAAATGTCATTATCACCATCCATGAATGTGTCCTGTCCCACTGGCAACACAGACCCAGCTGAGGTGGTGGCACAGTGGTATACAGTCAGGAGGGAGTTGCCTTGACATTGAACATGGATCGCATGAAGTCCTGTGGCTTCAGGTTAAACATGGGCAAGGAAACCTCCTGCTGATTACCACATACCGTCCTCCCTCAGCTGGTGAATCGGTACTCCTTCATGTTGAGCAACACTTGGAGGAAGCACTGAGGATGGCAAGGGCACAAAATGTACTCTGGGTAGGGGATTTCAATGTCCACCACCAAGAGTAGCTCAGCAGCAGTACTACTGATCGAACGGGTCGGATCCCAAAGGACATAGCTGCTAGACTGTCATAGAATAGAATCATAGAATCTCTACAGTGTGGAAACAGGCCCTTCGGCCCAACAAGTCCACACTGAACCTCAGAGCATCCCACCCAGACCCATCCCCTATAACCCACCTAATCTACACCTCCCTGAACACTATGGGCAATTTAGCATGGCCAATCCACCTAGCCTGCACATCTTTGGACTGTGGGAGGAAACTGGAGCACCCGGAGGAAACCCACGCAGACACGGGGAGAATGTGCAAACTCCACACAGACAGTCGCCCGAGGCTGGAATCGAACCTGGGTCCCTGGCGCTGTGAGGCAGCAGTGCTAACCACTGTACCACCGTGCAGCAGGTGATGAGGGAACCAACAAGAGGGAAAAACATACTTGATCTCATCCTTACTAATCTGCCAGCTGCAGATACATCTGTCCATGACAGTATCGGTAAGAGTGACCATCGCACAGTCCTTGTGGAGATGAAGTCCCACCTTCACATTGAGAACAACCTCCATCGTGTTGTGTGGCACTATCACCGTGCTAAATGGGACAGACTTCGCACAGATCTAGCAACCCAAGATTGAGCATCCATGAGGCGCTGTGGGCCATCAACAGCAGCAGAATTGTACTCCAGCACAATCTGTAACCTCATGGCCTGGCATATCCCCCACTCAACCATTACCATCAAGCCAGGGCTTCAACCCTGGTTCAATGGAGAGCGCAGGAAGGCAGGCCAGGAGCAGCACCAGGCATACCTGAAGATGAGGTGTCAACCTGGTGGAGCCACCAAACAGGAATACTTGCACGCCAAACAATATAACCAGTAAGTGATAGACAGAGCTAAGTGATCCCACAACCAATGGATCAGATCTAAGCTCTGCAGTCCTGCCACATCCAGTCGTGAATGGTGGTGGACAATTAAACAACTCACTGGAGGAGGAGGCTCCACAAATATCCCCATCCTCAATTTGGAAGAGCCCAGCTCATCAGTACAAAAGATAAGGCTGAAGCATTCGCAGTGATCTTCAGCCATGAGTGCCAACTGGATGATCCATCTCGGCCTCATCCTGTGGTCCCCAGCATCATAGATACCAGTCTTCAGCCAATTCGACCCACCCCACGTGATATCAACAAACAATTGGAGACACTGGATATTGCAAAGGCTACGGGCCCTGACAACATTCTGATAATAGTACTGAAGACTTATGCTCCAGAACTTGCCGCTCCCCTAGCCAAGCTGTTCCTGTATAGTTTCAACACTGGGATCTACCCGACAATGTAGAAAATGTCCTGTACACACAAAGCAGAACAAATCCAACCCGGCTAGTTACCGCCCCATCAGTCTCCTCTCGATCATCAGTAAAGTGATGGAAGGTGTTATTAACAGCGCTATCAAGCAGCACCTGCTCAGCAATAACCTGCTCAGTGATGCCCAGTTTGGGTTCCGCCAGGGTCACTCGGCTCCTGACCTCATTACAGCCTTGGTTCAAACATGGACAAAAGAGCTGAATTCCAGAGGTGAGGTGAGAGTGACAGCCCTTGATATCAAGCCTGCATTCGACCGAGTGTGGCATCAAGGAGCCTGAGCAAAACTGGAATCGATTGGTATGAGGGAAAACTCTGTCCACTGGTTGGAGTCATACCTGACACAGAGGAAGATGGTCGTGGTTGTGGGAAGTCAGTCATCTCATCTCCAGAACATCTCTGCAGGAGTTCCTCAGGGTAGTGTCACATGCTATACTATCTTCAGCTGCTTCATCAATGACCTTCCCTCTATCATAAAGTCAGATGTGGGGATGTTCAACACCATTTGCAACTCCTCAGGTACTGAAGCAGCCCGTGTCCAAATCAGCAAGACCTGGACAAAATTTTAGACTTCGGCTGATAAGTGGCAAGTAACATGTGCACCACAAGAATACCAGGCAATGACCATCTTCAATAAGAGACAACCAAACCACCGCCCCTTGACATTCAACGGCATTACCCACAGTGAATCCCCCCCACTAACAACATCCTGGGGGTTACCATTGCAGAAACTCAACTGGACTCATCACGTAAACACAGTGGCTACAAGAGCAGGTCAGAGGCTAGGAATACTGCGGCGAGTAACTCCCCTCCTGACTCCCCAAAACCTGTCCCACCGTCTACAAGGCTCAAGTCAGGAGTGTGATGGAATACTCACCAGTTGCCTGGATGGGTGCAGCCCCAACAACACTCATAAGAGTTGACAGCACACAGGACAAAGCAGCCCCCACTTGATTGGCACCACATCCACAAGCATCCACTCCCTCCACCACCGACGCTCAGTAGCAGCAGTGTGTACTACCTACAAGATAAACTGCAGACAAAAGTTAGACAACACCTTCTAAATCCGCAACCATTTCCATCTAGAAGGACCAAGGGCAGTAGATACATGGTAAAACCATCCCTGCAAGATCTACCCCCCTCCCCCACCAAAAAGCCACTCATGATCCTGACATTGAAATATTTCACCATTTCTTCAGTGTCACTGGGTCAGATTTGGAAATTCTTTCTATAACAGCTTTTTGGGTCAATGGACTGCAGTGGTTCAAGATAGCAGCTCAGCATCAGCTTCTCAAGGGGTGACTAGAGACCTATAATAAATGGGGCGTCCATGTCCCACGAGTGAAGTCAAAAAATGTTGGTTTTCTCTTAGAAGTTGTATTCTTGCAAATTGTTCTGATGGGTGCCAGACAATAAGCTTTGACAAATGTATCTTTTTTCAACAATAAAGGATAAAGTTTAAGATTAATTCAAATAAGAAAACAAAGTGTCAACCTGATTCCAAGCAGCATCTATTGCAGATACTCAAGTCAAGTGCCAAGTCATTTAAGTTTTTTTGAATCTGCAATTGTATGTGCTTGTCACTGCCCATCCCGAATTACTCAGAGGACAGTTAAGAGACAACAACATTGCTATGAGTTTGGAGTCATGTGTACGTCAGACCTGGTAAGGAGGGGAGATTTATTTGCCTAAAGGACATTATTGGACAAGGTGGGTTTTTGTTTTACAACAATCAATAATTTGCATAGTTACCATTAGGCTACCAGATGGCCTCAATAATAATGACTACTATCTTCCAAAATTTTGTTGAATCCAAATTTTACCATCTGAAGTGGTGGGGTTCCAACCTTGGTCCCCAGATACAGCTTCAGTAATGGGTTACTCGGCCAGTGACAATATTACTATGCAGTGTCCACTATGGACAGAACCAACGTAATATACAAGATTCCATGCAAGGACTTCGACAAACATTACGTTGGACAGACAGGAAGAAAATTGGGTACGAAAACACATGAACACCAACTAGCAACAAAAAGACACGACCAATACTCACTCATCTCCATACATACAGATAAGGTGACACCAGCTCAACTGGGACAATATCAGGATTCTAGGACAGGCCAAACAGAGACAAGCACGGGAATTTCTGGAGGCCTGGTTCTCCACCAAGAAAGCCATCAATAAACACATAGAACTAGACCCTATATATACACCAAGGAAAACTGGAAATGTGGTAATCGAATCCATTGGACCCCAGAGTTTAAATACCAGGCGGGAAAACACAACAGTGCTTCATCAGAGGCTGCACTGATGATGTTACCCAGCAGGGTAATGAAACGTCTGCAAACTAATGGACCAGCTCGGCGAGTGAACCAACCACAACATCCACAACCCGAGCTACAAATCTACTCAAGAATATTAGCCGTTTTCCTTGGGTGGCACAGTGGCTCGGTGGTTAGCACTGCTGCCTCTCAGTGCCAGGGATCCAGGTTCACTTCCACCCTCAGGTGACTGTCTGTGTGGGGTTTGCACGTCCTCCCTGCGTCTGTGTGGGTTTCCTCCTGGTGCTCCGGTTTCATCGCAGAGTCAAAAGGTTGGGGTGGATTGGCCATGCTAAATTGCCCGTAGTGTCCAGGGATGTCAGGTTTGGGTGGATTGGCCATGGGAAATGCAGGGTTGCAGGGATAGGGTGGGATCCCCTTTGGAGGGTTGGTGAGGACTCAATGGGCTGAATGGCCTGCTTCCACACTGTAGGGATTCTATGGGAATGTAGTGAGGAGATTTAATTGAAATTTTCGAAATAATTTTCAACAGAGCAACGAAACTGTTCTGATTGGTGGAAGGGTTGAGAAACAGAGGGTAAGTGTCAAATGAAGCAACAGTGACATGATGAGAAAGATTTCCCACAGGGAGTGGACAGGGTCTGGAGTGCACAACCTGTGTGTGTGGTACAGGCAGCTTCAAATAAAGCCTTCAAGAGGAATTGAATAATTATCTGAAGAGGATAAAACATGAAGCGTTGGGGAAGAAGGCGAGAGAGAATGGTACTCAGTAAATTGCTTTGATGGAGCTAGCATGGACTATGGGCTGAAGGTTGTCGTGTGCACTGGACCCAATTCTCTCATCCGTCAGCGCTGTGTCACAGTGTCTCAAATCCTGTTGCTATGTTGCTGGTCATTATTGTTTATGCTCTGAGAAACAAGGTCAGATTGATACTCAAGACAGATTGTCCCCAACGTGGAAACATACAGGCCCAGGGAGCTTTTGACGATCATCAGGATAATGTATCTCTCTCTCACTCTCAGACATTCTTTCTGCCTCATTCATTCTTTCTGTCACACCATTGCTTTCTCTCTCCCTCACTCCTTCATTCCTTCACTCCCTATCACACTCAGTCTCATTCAATGCTCACTTTCTCTCTCTCCCTCATATTCTCTCACTCTCTCCTTCATACTCTCTCTTCTCCCCCTTCATACTTTCTCACTCTTTCTCTCTCTCTCTCTCTTTTCCTCCCTCACAGTTGCAGAACTTTACCTTGATGTTAATGGTGGACATCACTGCACGTCAGCGAGTTGTCTCCAGGATATTGACACCAAGTGTTCAAAGGGAAATGATACCTGCCTACGAAGGTAAGGCACCGCACTGTCAGAGGGTCAATGCTGAGGGAACACTGCACTGTTGGAGGGTCAGTGCTGAGGGAGCACCACGCTGTCAGAGGGTCAGTGCTGAGGGAGTGGGTGTTGTCGGAGGGTCAGTGCTGAGGGAGTGCCGCGCTGTCGGAGGGTCAGTGCCGAGGGAGCGCCGCGCTGTCGGAGGGTCTGTGCCGAGGGAGCGCCGCGCAGTCGGAGGGTCAGTGCCCAAGGGAGCGCCACGCTGTAGGAGGGTCAGTGCCGAGGGAGCGCCGTACTGTCAGAGGGTCAGCGCCGAGGGAGTGCCGCACTGTCGGAGGGTCAGCGCCGAGGGAGCACCGCATTGTCCTGTTTTGCGTATTGGCAGCCGCATTGTGTATTACAACAAAACAAATGTCATAAATGCGTCCTTTGCTGAAAGGAGCTGTGAGGTGTATTAGGGCCCTGAAAGGTGCTGTGGAAATGCCGATGTGTGTGTTTTCTAGTACTAATGTTTACTGGGAGTTGGGTGGTGGGGTGGGTAGGAGGAGATATACACAGTGTGCCTTTTTAACCCCTATCTCCCTCCAGCGTGTCAATCTGAATCTGGATCAGGTTCCTTTGGCCGGATGAAATCCCACATGCAGCAGTACGTCCGGGAGCACAGAGACCGCGTCTTCTGTACTGCCTCCCGGAAACTCATGGAGCAACTCAGCCTGCTACAGGTCAGAGGTCAGGGACAAAGGTCCCTGGTGAGGGGTCAGGGATTCCAGGGAAGCATTAGAGCGGGGTATTGCGGGGGGGACAGAGGTCACCAGTGAATACCACCTGTCCATTGCCTCCCCTAGGTGGGACGAGTTTAGTTTGGGATTAAGTTTGGCTTGGACTGAAGGGACTGTTTCCGTGCTGTATGACTCTATGACTCTCGGAAAAGAATGAGATTCTGGGGAGAGAATGTAGGAAGTTAGGCAGGAATTTATAAAGGAGGGCAGTAATATCTGGATTACTCCCGGTGCCACAACCTAGTGAGGGTAGGAATAGAAGGATAAAGAAGATGAATGCGTGGCTGAGGAGCTGGTGCAAGGGAGAAGGATTCACATTTTTGGATCATTGGAATTTCTTCTGGGGTAGAAGTGACCTGTTTAAGAAGGATAGGTTGCCTGAATTTGAAGGGGACTAATATACTGGTGGGCCGATTTGCTAGAACTGTTCGGGAGGATTTAAACGAGTAAAGTGGGGGGGTTGATTTTGGAGGGGTGTGACCTATGGAGATAGTGAGGAAAGAGAGCAGTCTGAGACTGATACAGTTGGGAAAAGGGATAAGTCAAACAGTCAGGAGTAAAGCAGAGAATGAGAAAGGGCTGATAAACTAAACTGCATTTATTTCAATGCAAGAGGCCTAACAGGTAAGGCAGATTAATTCAGAGCATGGGATTGGGATGTCATAGCAATCACAGACGTGGCTCAGGGTTGGATAGGACTGGCAGCTTAATGTTCCAGGGTATTGATGCTATAGGAAGGATAGAAAGCAGGGCAAGAGAGGAGGGGGTGTGGCATTGTTGATTAGGGATAACATAACGGCTGTACTTGGGAAGGATATTCCTGGGATACATTCAGGGAAGTTTTTTGGATGGAACTGAGAAATAAGAAAGGGATGATCATCTCATTGGGATTGTACAATAGACATCATCCCCCAGTAGTCAGCAGGAAATTGAGAGACAAATTCTTAAGGATGTCTCAGTTATCTGTAAGCGTGATAAGGTGGTTATGGTAGGGGATTGTAACTTTCCCAACTTAGTCTGGGACTGCCATAGTGTTGAGGGCTTGGATGGAGAGGAATTTAACTGTGTACAGGAAAATTTTCTGGTGCAGCATGTAGATGTACCTGCTAGAGAAGGTGCAAAACTTGACCTACTCTTGGGGAAATGAGGCAGAGCAGGTGACTGAGGTGTCGATGGGGAAGCTGTTTGGGGCCAGTGACCATAATTCTATTAGTTTTAAAATAGTGATGGAAAAGGATAGATTGGATCTAAAAGTTAAAGCTCTAAATTGGAGCAAGGCCAATTTTTGACTATTATTCAAGAACTTTCAAAAGTTGATTGGGGACGGATGTTTGCAGGTAAAGGGATGGCTGGAAAATGGGAAGCCTTCAAAAATGAGATAAGAGTCCAGAGACAGCATATTCCTGTTAGGATGAAGGACAAGGCTAGTAGATGTAGGGAACGCTGGATGACGAGAGAAATGGAGGTTTTGGTAAAGAAAAAGAAGGAAGCATGTGTCTGCTTTAGACAGCAGGGACCAAGTGAATCCCTAGAAGAGCATAAAGGCAGAAGGCGTATACTTAAGAGGGAAATCAGGAGGACAAAATGGGGACATGAGTTAGATGTCGCAAATAGGGTTAAGGAGAATCCAAAGGGGATTCTACAAATATGTTAGGAACAAAAGGGTGACTAGGGAGAGAATAGGGCCCCTTAAAGATCAGCAAGGCCACCGATGTGCGGAGCCACAGGAGATCAGGGAGATACTAAAGGAATATTTTGCATCAGTGTTTACTGTGGAGAAGCCATTGAGGTGGAGGTGCCGGTGTTGGACTGGGTTGGACTGGGTTGGACAAGGTCAGAAATCACACAACACCAGGTTATAGTCCAACAGGTTTATTTGAAAACACAAGCTTTTGGAGCCTCAGTCCTCCTTCAGGTGTTAGTGAGAGAGGTAGTATCAGACACAGAATTTATAAGTATAAGATCAAAGGGTCACACCACTGATGAGGATGTATTAAACAGACAGAAGATCCTCTTAAATCTTTAATCATTTAGAAGATTTTAATTGATTAATATGTTTCTGTAAATTCCCAAATTCTTTTCAAGTCACTGTCCTGAGAGAACTACAGGTTTTATCAGAGTAAAGAAAGAGGTGATATTTTAGGTCAGACAATACATGTTAGGTGTGAGGCCTTGTTTAGAATCTGTTTGTGTTTTGGTTTGGAGTCAGACTGGTTTTATTTCTAAGGTAGGTATTTATAAAATGCCATATTAACTGACTGTCTATAAGTTGCGTGCTTGAAGGAGGACTGAGGCTCCAAAAGCTTGTGTTTTCAAATAAACCTGTTGGACTATAACCTGGTGTTGTGTGATTTCTGACCCTGGAGAAGGATATGGAAGATAGAGAATGTGGGGAAATAAATAGCGCCATCTTGAAAAATGTCCATATTACAAAGGAGGAGCTGCAGGGCGTCTTAAAATGTATAAAGGTGGATAAATCCCCGGGACCTGATCAGGTGTACCCTAGAACAGTGTGGGAAGCAAGGGAAGAGATTGCTGGGCCCCATGCTGAGGTATTTGTATCTTCGATAGCCACAGGTAAGGTGCCGGAAGACTGGAGGTTGGCTAATGTTTTGCCGTTATTTAAGAAAGGTGATAAGGAAAAGCCAGGGAACTATAGTCTGGTGAGCCTGACAGCGGTGGTGGCAAGTTGTTGGAGGGAATCCTGCGGGACAGGATTTCCACATATTTGGAAAGGCAAGGACGGATTAGGGATAGACAGCCTGGCTTTGTGCGTGGGAAATCATTTCTCACTAACTTGATTGAGTTGTTTGAAGAAGTAATGAAGAGGATTGATGAGGGCAGAGTGGTGGATGTGATCTATATGGACTTCATTAAGACATTCAACAAGGTTCCACATGGTAGACCGGTTAGCAAGGTTAGATCACATGGAATACAGGGAGAACTAGCTGTTTGGATACAGAACTGCTTGAAGGTAGAAGGCAGAGGGTGGTGGAGGAGGGTTGCTTTTCAGACTGGAGGCCTGTGACAGTGGTGTGCCACAGGATCAGAGCTGGGTCCACTGCTTTTTGTCATTTATATAAATGATTTGGATGTGATCATAGGAGATATGGTTAGTCAAATTTGCAGATGACACCAAAATTGGAGGTGTAGTGGATAGTGAAGAAGGTTACTTCAGAGTACAGCGGGATCTTAATCAGATGGGCCAATGGGCCGAGGAGTGACAAATGGAGCTTAATTTAGATAAACGTGAGGTGCTGTATTTTGAAAAGGCAAATCAGGGCAGGACTTATACACTTATTGGTAAGGTTCTGGGGAGTGTTGCTGAACAAAGAGACCTTGGAGTTCAGGTTCATAATTCCTTGAAACTGGAGTCGCAGGTAGACGGGATAGTGAAGGCAGCATTTGGTACGCTTACCGTCATTGGGCAGTGCATCGAGTATAGGAGTTGGGAGGTCATGTTGGGGCTGTACAAGGCATTGGTTAGGCTGCTATTGGAATACTGGGTGCAATTCTGGTCTCCCTGCTATAGGAAGGATGTTGTGAAACTTGAAATGGTTCCGAAAAGATTTACAAGGATGTTGCCAGGTTTGGAGGGTTTGAGTTATTGGGAGAGGCTGAATAGGTTGGGGTTATTTTCCCTGGAGTGTCGGAGGCTGAGGGGCATGGATAGGGTGAATAGCCAAGGTCTTTTCCCCGGGGTAGGGGAGTCCAAAACTAGAGGGTATAGGTTTAAGGTGAGAGGGGAAAGATTTAAAATTGACGCAAGGGGTAACTTTTTCACACAGAGGGTGATGTGTGTATGGAATGAGCTGCCAGAGGAAGTGGTGGAGGCTGGTATAATTGCAACATTTAAAAGGCGTCTGGTGGGTACACGAATAGGAAGGTTCAGAGGGATATGGGCTAAATGCTGGTAAATGGGACTAGATTAATTTAGGATATCTGGTCAGCATAGACGAGTTGGACTGAAGGATCTGTTTCTGTGCTGTGCATCTCTATGATTGTCTTTGATTCCAATGATTTATCAGGAATTTTGAATGGTTTGGTGGTGAACACTGCCACTTTGTGGTGGTGGTTGGTAGTACAGCACTGTATTTAACTCTAATTGATGTCCTCTGGTCTTGCTTCAAGGATGTCATTTACTCTCAGCTGAAGCATGTTCTGGAAGAGATCCACAAGGAGCTGTGTGTGCAGTTTGAACCCATGCTGAAACCAGTCAGGATAATCGATGAAATAATTCCCAGTAAGTTTTTTTTTTAAAATTCACTCATGGCATGAGGGTATCGTTGGCTAGGCCAGCATTTATTGCCACATTATTTTCCTGTACATTGTCACCCTGCAATTTCAGAAGATATCACAGGAATAAGTCCTTCAGCCCATCTGCTCTATGCTAGCATTTCTGATCCACATGATCATCTTCTCACTGCCACCCCTTCCCCTTTCACTGCAGCCCCTTCCACCTCACTGCCCCCCCCTCCCCCTCACTGCCACCCCTTCCCCCTCACTGTCACCCCTTTCCCCTCACTGTCCCCCCACTTTCCCTGTCACTGCCTCCCCTTACCCCTCACTGCCCCCCCTTTTCCATCATCACTGCCTACTCTCTCAACATTAACCCTGGTGTCCCCCAAGAATCTCTTTTTGCCCCCTCCCATTTCCCATCTGCGTGCTATATCCCGAGACAGCATCTAATGGCACAGTTTTTATGTGTACCCTCGACTCCCAGTTCGACCTCCTCAGCATCGCTCTCCAACCCTCCAGTCTTGTTTATCAGAGTTTATCCCATATCCAGTACTAGATGAGCAAAAATTTGACTCCGTTAAGGCAAATGAAAAGCGAACGAACCACAGATGCTGTTAACCAGAAATTGCTGGAAAAGCTCAGGGAAAACTTCTGAGGAAGGGTCACTGGACCTGAAACGTTAACTCTAATTTCTCTTCACAGATGCTGCCAGACCTGCTGAGCTTTTCCAACAATTTCTGTTTTTCTTTCCATAATTGTAAACGGTGAAATTTATTCTTCTATCTTCGGTGAAGACTTTGTTCCCAGCTACTGACTCCCCTCTCCCAGTGCAGGCCAATATTTAGACAGTCTACTGGCTCCTTCGCGTCACATTGGATCCCGAGATGAGCTTCCAATCTCTCGTTATTGCCATCACTGAGATATCAATTGCCATTGCCCTGATATTACCCGACTTTGTTTCTGAAGCAGATGAGATGGGACAAATCATTCGTCCTCTGTAACCTCAACTCAACTATTCCAACTCACTCCTGCCTAGTCTGAAGTCATCCAAAACTTTGTTGCTGCAAGTGTTTAACTCTCAAGTCCTATTCCTTATCCACGCATTTGCTCACTGATCTATAGCATGCCCAGCCACGTAGCATCGTGACCGTAAAATTCCAATAATTGTTTACAAATAGCCTCAATCCTACCTATTCCTGTAATTTCTTCCAGAAAGATAACTCTCAAATATCTGTAATCTCTTGAACATAATTGTGGCCTTGAGCAACCACAATTTTAATTTCTTAACCCTTGGTAGCACTGCCTTCGGTTGCCTTGGTTTCTGGAATACAGACCTTCCACCTCTACCTCGCCTTTTTTCCTTTAAAGCACCTCTTCAGAATTTTGACTAAGCATTTTTGCAATTGACCCAGTATCGCCTTACATGGAATGGTGTCACACTGTTTATAGTGCCATGGAAGGTGCTTGAGATGTCTCAATTTGTTAAACGCACCAAATGACTCAGTTGTTTCCAGTTCATTGTCTCTCTCTTTATCCTCCTTGTCAGGGAGATTATTCTGTTCTCTGCGCCATTGTATTTTTATTGCAGAGCTGGTGAATGTCTGTGCCCGGGTGCGTGCATTGTGTCAGAAATCTCACATTGATTTCACCATGCCCAAGATTGAGGACTGTGAAGAGGAGACAGACTCCTCCATGTTCTTGACGCAGCCCATCAAACGGGAGAGTCCATCGGTCCAGGAGCTGGGAACATTCCTCGGAAAAGCCAAAATGATGAAGATGGGTGAACTTGACGTATCTCCAACCGATTCAGTTGAGGTGCCTGCTGCTGTGTTGCCTTTGCTCACTCTCCAACCATCCTGAGATGTGAAATAAATCCCATCCCCCATCTCCCCACCCAACAAACCTATTTATCCCTCTCTCTCGCTCTGTCCTCCCCTCAGACTCTCCTTGGAACCTACCTGTTCACATGAGCTTCTTGACCCGAATATTTCTCTTGGTGTGACTGGGTATGAACTCGCTAGATGTGCAGGTTAAGTGGATTGGCCACGGTACATTGTCCAGTAGGGTGTTTCAGGCTAGGTGGGCTAGTTATGGGTAAATGTGGGTTACAAGGGTAGGGTAGAAAATCTGGGTGGGATGTTCTTTAGAGAGCCCATGTGGACCTGATGGGCTGAGTGGCCTTGTTCAGTATTCTGTGAAGGTAGGTCTGCAGGTACAACAAGTAATTAGGAAGGCAAATGGAATTTTGTCCTTCATTGCTAAAGGGATTGAAATAAAAAGCAGACAGGTTATGTTGCAGCTGTACAAGGTGCTGGTGAGGCCACACCTGGAGTACTGTGTGCAGTTTTGGTCTCCTTACTTGAGAAAGGATGTACTGGTACTGGAGTGGGTGCAAAGGAGGTTCACTAGGTTGATTCTGGAGTTGAGGGGGTTGGCTTATGAGGAGAGACTGAGTAGATTGGGATTATATTCATTGGAATTCAGAAGATTGAGGGGGGATCTTATAGAAACATGTAAAATTATAAAGGGAATAGATAAGATAGAAGTAGAGAGGATGTTTCCACTGGCAGGTGAAGCTAGGACAAGAGGGCATAGCCTCAAGATTAGAGGGAGCAGATTTAGGACTGAACTGGGAAGGAATTTCTTCACCCAGAGGGTTGTTAATCTATGGAATTCCTTGCCCAGTGAAGTAGTTGACGCTACTTCAGTAACCACTTTTAAAAAAAAGGTAGATTTTTTTTGAACAATAAAGGAATTAAGGGATACGGTGAGAACGCGGGTAAGTGGATCTGAGTCCACGAAAGGATCAGCCATGATCTTATTAAATGGCGGAGCAGGCTCGAAGGGCCAGACGGCCTACTCCTGCTCCTAGTTCTTATGTTCTTATGTTCAGTGCGGCTGTTGGGAGTTTCTGCTGCTATATCAATGGAAGTGTTTGTTGTTTCCCCAGTATTTACCCTTCTCCAGCGCAATTAGGGATGGGCAATAAATGCTGAATAAGCTAATGAAGCTCACAAGCAAATAAGAAAAAAATAGTTTGTAGGCACAGTGTGCGAGAGCAGAGAATTTTGAATGATTCAGCCTCAGCTGGTGAACTGTGTCTGGTTCACTCCCACAGAAAACAGTTGAGGCCAAAACATGGTGTGATTTCAAGAAGGAATTACATATTGTTCTTTGGGTTAAAGGGGTCAAAGGGTATGGGGAGAAAGTGGGGGTGGGGGGGTGGAGTGTTGGGGGCGCGATGCAGTGCTGACCTGGATGATTGGACTTAGCCTGCCATGCCATTCAGTATAGTCAAGGGGGTTGAATGACCGTTTGCCACTCTCACTGTTTCTGTGGTGCCAGAGTTCCCATGAGCCAGGAACGATGGGGCAGTGATGTGGGTTTTAATGTAAGTGCTAACCTCACTTGGATTGCGTTCTCCTTTACAGATCTCGTTGGATAAAGTCATTCTCAGCTTTGAAGGTCAGTGTCAGAGCGAAACAGCTAAGTGGGTTTTTAATTGAGGCAGGAGAGGGGCCTGGGGAGGAGTGACAGGTGGGTAAGCCAAGAGAATATTAGAGGGTAATAACAGTGAGGAGGGGGCAAGTGGGGAACAGGCAGGGTGTAAGACACAGGGTGGGGGCAAAATGAGTTGGAGGATGTTGGAGAGGGGGCAAGAGAAGGCAAGGTGCAAGGGCAGCGTTTATTCTACGAACACTGTGTCTCTGTCCCTCTTTCCCTCCATTGTGATCTCTCCCCCCCCCCCCCCCCCCTCTCCCCTCTCCCCCCCTCCCCCGACCTCCCTCTCTCCCCTCCTTCCTCTCTCCCCTCCCCACTCTCTCCCCTTCCCGCGTTCTCTCTCTCTCTCTCTCTCTCTCTCTGTCCTCTCTCCACTCTCCCCCCCGACCTCTCTCTCCCCTCCACCCTCCCTGTCTTTCACCTCCCCTCTCCCCACCCTCTTTCTCTCCCTCAACTCTGTCCCCCCCTCCCCCCTCTCTCTACTCCCTCCCCCTGCCTCTCTCACCCCTTCCCCCACCCCAGCCTCTGTCTCTTGATGCTCCATCACACACACCGTTCAGCTGACTCTCCCTCTGCAACTCCTCCCAGGCAGTGGGACAGCAGGACTGGGGGTGCTGAGGGATTAGGAGACCAGAGAGGGCCTAGGCTGGGGTGAGAGCCTGGGGCTTAGGGTTGAGTGATGGGTAAAAGATGGGGAAGCCTGGTGAGACCCCTGGGATGGGCTGACACCTTCTCTGATGGAGAAACGGGGGTGGGGCTCTGGTTTGGGACGGTGAGGGAGAGATAACGCTGAGGGTGAGGGAGAGACCCATGTGGTGGGGGATGAATGTGAGTCCCGCGAGGGGGGGGGGGGGGAGTGTGGGACCATGGGGGGTGGGGGGTGGTGTTAAGGGTAGGGGTGATTGGGTCTGGGTGCTGATGGAGGGATGTTGCATTGCTGTGGTCATGTGTGTATTTTCCTTCTGTCCAGCCTCGGGGATCCCAAACCGCAGAGTGATCCCATTTCAGTCGTTAGCGGCCTGTGATTTCTGCCCCAGCATGCACTTCTTCATCCTGTATCCCTGGCAGTCGAGGTCAGGGGGCACTGACGGTCAGTGACCTGATTTACCAAGACCCTCACTGGGCCCAGGGGGTGGGGAGACACGTGGGAGGAGTAAGGGATAAGATCTTCAGGCTGTGATGGCTGGGCAAGGCGGGAGGTGCTGGGTCTTCTCCAGGGTGATCGAGGGGGCACTCTTGGAGAGTGATTTGGTGTGGTGTGGGTGGGGGTGGGTGCAGGGCCTGGCTGTTGGGGAGTGATGGGTGAACATCACTCAGGACATGGGTGAAAGGGTGACGTTTGCAGTTGGAGGGTCCTCAGGGTGTGGGTGAGAGTGCAGAGTCCCCCACACTCAGGGGGTCCAGGGGAAGTAATGAGGGTACAGCAGGGTGGGGTTAGGGGTCAAGGGATGTGGGGAATCCCAGTCTTCCCATCAGGTTCTCTGCTGGTTTGAATTGTGTTCAGTTTCTAACCCCGGCAGTCTCTTTACCAGATGGGCCAATGGGGCGAGGAGAGACAGATGAAATTAAATTTAGATAAATGTGAAGTGTTGCAAACAAAGGTAGGACTTACCATTAATGGTTGGGCCTTGAGCAGTGTTGCCGAACAAAGAAACTTTGGAGTGCAGGTACATAGTTCCTTGAAAGTGGAGGCACAGGATAATGAAGGCGTTTGAACACAGAACAAAGAAAATTGCAGCAGAGGAACAGGCCCTTCGGCCCTCCAAGCCTGCGCCGATCCAGATACTCTATCTAAACCTGTCACCTATTTTCCAAGGATCTGTATCCCTCTGCTCCCTGCCCATTCATGTATCCATCTAGATACATCTTAAATGACGCTATCGTGCCCGCCTCTACCACCTCCGCTGGCAACACATTCCAGGCACCCACCACCCTCTGCGTAAAGAACTTGCCACGCATATCTCCCTTAAACTTTTCCCCTCTCACCTTGAAATCGTGACCCCTAGTAATTGAGTTCCCCACTCTGGGAAAAAGCTCCTTGTTATCCACCCTGTCTATACCTCTCATGATTTTGTAGACCTCAATCAGGTCCATCTCAACCTCCGTCTTTCTATTGTAAATAATCCTAATCTACTCAACCTCTCTTCATAGCTAGCACCGTCCATACGACCCAACATCCTGGTGAACCTCCTCTGCACCCTCTCCGAAGCATCCACATCCTTTTGATAATGTGGCGACCAGAACTGTACGCAGTATTCCAAATGTGGTCGAACCAAAGTCCTATACAACTGCAACATGACCTGCCAACTCTTGTACTCAATATCCCGTCCGATGAATGAAAGCATGCCGTATGCCTTCTTGACCACTCTATCGACCTGCAATGCCACCTTCAGGGTACAATGGACCTGAACACCCAGATCTCTCTGTGCATCAGTTTTCCCCAGGGCTTTTCCATTTACCACATAGTTCGCTCTTAAATTGGATCTTCCAAAATGCATCACCTCGCATTTGCCTGGATTGAACTCCATCTGCCATTTCTCTGCCCAACTCTCCAATCTATCTATACTCTGCTGCATTCTCCAACAGTCCCCTTCACTATCTGGTACTCCACCAATCTTAGTGTCATCTGCAAACTTGCTAATCAGACCATCTACACCTTCCTCCAGATCATTTATGTATATCACAAACAACAGTGGTCCCACCACGGATCCCTGTGGAACACCACTGGTCACAGTTCTCCATTTTGAGAAACTCCCTTCCACTACAACTCTGTCTCCTATTGCCCAGCCAGTTCTCTATCCATCCAGCTAGTACACCCTGGACCCCATGCGACTTCACTTTCTCCATCAGCCTACCATGGGGAACCTTATCAAACGCCTTACTGAAGTCCATGTATATGACATCTACAGCCCTTCCCTCATCTATCAACTTTGTCACTTCCTCAAAGAATTCTATCAAGTTGGTAAGACATGACCTTCCCTGCACAAAACCATGCTGCCTATCACTAATAAGCCCATTTTCTACCAAGTGTAAATAGATCCTATCCCTCAGTATCTTCTCCAGCAGCTTCCCCACCACTGACGTCAGGCTCACAGGTCTATAATTACCTGGATTATCCTTGCTACCCTTCTTAAACAAGGGGACAACATTAGTAGTTCTCCAATCCTCCAGGACCTCACCCGTGCTCAAGGATGCTGCAAAGATATCTGTTAAGGCCCCAGCTATTTCCCCTCTCGCTTCCCTCAATAACCTGGGATAGATCCCATCTGGACCTGGGGACTTGTCCACGCTAAAGCCTTTTAGAATACCCAACACTTCCTCCCCTCCTTATGCCGATTTGACCTAGAGTAATCAAACATCTATCCCTAACCTCAACATCCGTCATGAACCTCTCCTCAGTGAATACTGATGCAATGTACCCATTAAGAATCTCACTCATTTTCTCTGACTCCTCGTATAACTGAACTCCTTTGTCCTTGAGTGGGCCAACCCTTTCTCTAGTTATCCTCTTGCTCCTTATGTACAAATAAAAGGCTTTGGGATCTTCCTTAACCCTGTTTGCTGAAGATATTTCATGACCTCTTTTAGCCCTCTTAATTCCTCGTTTCAGATTGGTCCTACTTTCCTGATATTCTTCCAAAGCTTCGTCTGTTTTCAGTCGCCTAGACCTTATGTATGCTTCCTTTTTCCTCTTTGATAATCTCACAATTTCACCTGTCATCCATGGTTCCCTAATCTTGCCCTTTCTATCCCTCATTTTCACAGGGAACTGTCTGTCCTGCACTCTAATCAACCTCTCTTTAAAAGCCTCCCACATATTAAATATGGATTTACCCTCAAACAGCTGCTCCCAATCCACATTCCCCAGCTCCTGTCGAATTTTGCTATAGTTGGCCTTCCCCCAGTTCAGCGCTCTTCCTTTAGGACCACTCTCGTCTTTGTCCATGAGT